AAAGAGAGAGATAAGATGATCTTTTGCTGTGCTTCGGGGGCAGAGAGCAGCAGGTGAGCAGCAGCAAGTGAGCACAGCTTCATCTGTGTTTACAGCCCTGCTCCCATGGCTCACATCACCACCGTGTGCTGCACACCTCCTCCCCACCACCCCATGGGAAAATTGTCTTCCATGAAACTGGTCCCTGATTCAAAGACCGCCACTTTATCAGATATGTTATTATGTTAATTACAAGTATTTTGTCCTGTGCATTATCTTCATTTTCTTGATGATATCCTTTCAAGCACAGAAATTTTAAATTTTATGAAATCCAGTTTTATCAGTTTTCCGATTGCTAGTGATGAATACGTTATTCACACTAGCCAAAAGATGAAAGCACCCCAAGTGTTCTGACAGATGAGCAGATAAACAAAATGTGGTATATACCTGCAGTGGAATATTATTCAGCCTTCAAATGAAGAAAATTCTGACACATGCTACAAAATGGATAATCTTTGAAGACACTATGCTAAGTAAATAATAACAGTCATAAAAAAACAAATACTGTATGATTCCACTTATGTGAGGTACCTAGAATAGTCAGATTCCTAGAGAGACAGAAAGTGGAATGGTGGTGGTGATTAAGGGCTGGGGAGGAGGAGATGGGAATTATTTAATGGGTCAAAGTTTCATTTTTTTTTTTTTTTTTTTTTAAATTCAAAGATGTAAATTTCATTTTGGATGATGAAAAACTTCTGGACATGGGTGGTAGTGATGGTTGTGCAACATTGTCAGTGTACTTAATGCCACTAACTGTATGCATAAAGTGGTTAAAATGCACTTGTAATCCCAGTGCTTTGGGAGGCCATGGCTGAGGATTGCTTGAGGCCAGGAGTTTAAGACCAGCCTGGGAAACATAGTAAGACCCCTGTCTGTACAAAAAATAATTTATGTATATTTTATAACATTTAAAAATTTTTTTATGGTTTAGCTCTTACATTTAGTCCTATAAGCATGTTGAGTTAATTTTTGTAATGAAATGTGAGCTAGGGATCTAACTTGATTCTTGTATGTTTCTGTTCACTTGTCTCAGCACCATTCATTGAAAACATTACTTTTTTCTTTATTCAGTTATTTGGCACCCATTTTGATAATCAGTTGACAATAAAGGCAAGAGCTTATTTCTGGATTCTCAATTGTATTCATTTTTATACGTATTTCTGTCTTTATGCCAGTAACACTGTCCACTGTCTTGATTACTTTAGCTTGTTGAGATAAAGTGTCACTCTGTCACCTGGGCTTGAGTACAGTGGTGTCATCATAGCTCACTGCAAACTCCAACTCCTGGGCTTCAACAGTCTTCTGCCTCAGCCTCCTGAGTACCTGGGAATACAGCTACGTGGCACCATGCCCAGCTAATTTTTGTATATTTTGTAGAATTGAAATTGAGATTGTCTATTTGTAGACAAGCCTCTTGCTCAGGCTTGTCTCCAACTCCTGCCTCAAGCAATCTTCCCACCTTGGCCTCTCAAAGTGCTAGGATTACAGGTGTGGCCACCTCGCCTGCCCTATAGGTATTCTTTTTGATGCTCTTGTAAATGAAATTATTTTAATTTCATTTTCACGTTGTTCATTGTAAGGTTATGGGAATATAATTAATTTTTTTATACTCATCTTGTATCTTGAAACCTTTCTGAACTTTTTATTCCCAAAGTTTTAAATGATCTCTTAGGATTTCCCACATAAACGATTATGTCAGGTACTAATTGAGATAGTTGTACTTCTTCCTTTCCAAAATCTGGATTGCTTTAATTTCATTTCCTTACCTAATTGCCCTGGATAAGAAGTTCAGATGGCATGTTGGATAGAAGTGGCAAGAGAAGGCCAGGCATGGTGGTTCACGCCTGTAATCCTGCCTTTTTGGGCAGGGCTGATATTTGACTTTTTTGGGGTGATCTCACTGAGGTCACTTCCTGGCTCATCTTCCCCACTGCCTTCTGCTTCTGAAAGCTGCTCTTTACATTCTTCCTGATGCTCCATTTCTTTCTCATCTTCTCCTGGCACACAAATGAAAACAGTGTGTATATAATGTCCACCACTTCAATGTTAAAAATTTTATTTAGGCGGGCGTGGTGGCTCACGCCTGTAATCCTAGCACTCTGGGAGCCGAGGCGGCGGATTACTCGAGTCAGGAGTTCGAAACAGCCTGAGCAAGACCCCGTCTTTACTAAAATTAGAAAGAAATTAATTGACAACTAAAATTATATACAAAAAAAATTAGCCAGGCATGGTGGCGCATGCCTGTAGTCCCAGCTACTTGGGAGGCTGAGCCAGGAGGATCACTTGAGCCAGGAGATTGAGGTTGCTGTGAGCTAGGCTGACAAGGCATCACTCTAGCCGGGCAACACAGTGAGACTCTGTCTCAAAAAAAAAAAAAATTTATTTAGTGCCTAATTGTGGGCCGAGCATGGCAGCTCACACCTATAGTCCTAGCACTTTGGGAGGCAGAGGCAGGAGGATTGTGGAGCCCAGGAGTTGGAGGCTACATTGATTTACGGTGATGCCACTATACTCTACCCAGGGCAACAGCGTGAGTAAGACTCTGCCTCAAAAAAAAAGTGCCAAGAACAGACATCCTTGTCTTGTTCCTGATCTTAGGGGGAGTACTTTCTTTTCAGTCTGTCACCATTAAGCCCAATGTTAGTTATTATTTTTAGTATATAACCTTTTGGTACCAATTGAAATGGTATACTAGAATTTTGAATTTGGGCTTGTGCTGCATGGTTATAAAAGTGTGTGTCATAACCTGAGGTTTGTCTTCCTGTGGATTTCTGATAACATCTATGTTTTGTTTTTCAGCCATGGCTGCCATCAGGAAGAAACTGGTGATTGTTGGTGATGGAGCTTGTGGCAAGACATGCTTGCTCATAGTCTTCAGCAAGGACCAGTTCCCAGAGGTGTATGTGCCCACGGTGTTTGAGAACTATGTGGCAGATATAGAGGTGGATGGAAAGCAGGCAAGTACTCTTTCTATAACAACTGGTACCATTTTGCATGTCATAGAGCCTGTAGAGAATTAGGGGTTTTTTGTCTCTTTAGTATACAATATAACAAAATGTCAGAAAGAATAATCAATTCTGCCCGAGCGTGGTGGCTCACACCTGTAATCCTAGCACTCTGGCTCTGGGAGGCTGAGGCGGGTGGATTGTTTAAGCTAAGGAGTTCGAGACCAGCCTAAGCAAGAGGGAGACCCTGTCTCTACTAAAAATAGAAAGAAATTAGCTGGACAATTAAAAATATATAGAAAATTTAGCCTGGCATGGTGGTGCATGCTTATAGTCCTAGCTACCCGGGAGGCTGAGGCAGGAGGATTGCTTGAGCCCAGGAGTTTGAGGTTGCTGTGAGCCAAGCTAAGGCCATAGCACTCTAGCACAGGCAAGAGAATGAGACTCTGTCTCAAAAAAGAAAAAAAAAAATAATCAATTCTTACCCTGCTGTTTTAGTCCAACTTTGTTCATTTTTAACTGCAACTCATCTAGACTTTGTTCACATTCATATGTATCTCACACAGGGCCCCCTTAGTATATGTGCTCTTTTTAAGTTTATTTATGTTTGAAATTTTGTTTGTTAGCACACAGATAATGCTCAAATGGACCTCTTTGCATGATTGTGCTTTTTATTTTTATTTTTTTTGAGACAGAGTCTCACTCTGTTGCCTGGGTTAGAGTGCCGTAGCGTCAGCCGAGCTCACAGCAACCTCAAACTCAAGCAAGCCTTCTGCTTCAGCCTTCTTAGTAGCTGAGACTACAGACATGCGCCACCATGCCCGGCTAATTTTTTCTATTTTTATTAGTTGGCCAATTAATTTGTTTCTATTTATAGTAGAGACGGGTCTCGCTCTTGCTCAGGCTGGTTTCGAACTCCTGACCTGGAATAATCCACCGGCCTCGGCCTCGGCCTCCCAGAGTATAAGGATTACAGGCGTGAGCCACTGCACCCGGCCCACAGTTGTTTTAATTTCCTGTCATTGATGATGTTTCCCCACTTCTGTCTGGAAAACCCTCTGGCAAGACTAGAGCAAAGCTGTTGTGGAATTGGAATATATGTTTTTATCTTCTGTACCCTTTTGTTGTCAAAATAATACCTTAGTTGGCCTCTTACATCTTTTGAAGAGGAATACAATTACCATTGTAAATGAGTCACCTGAAAGGAAAAAAAAACCTGAAACAAAGTGTTCTTTAGCACACTCAGTCACATGTCTCATATGTTGCTAGTAATACTTTAGCTTCTATAATTCCATCTCATTTCTCCCTTTTTGCTTTCCTGCTTTACCTGCTATTTCTTTCTGTCCCAGGGTCACCTAGTCCCAAGGTAACAGCTCTGGCACTGTGCATGGAAAGTGGGTTGGGCCACCTGCTTGGAATTCCAGGGTCCCTCATAGTAGGGCTTCTTTCTATACACACCTATGTATGTATGTGTGTGTGTATATATATATAAATTTTTTGTTTCTATTTTTAGTAGAGATGGGGTCCACTCTTGTTCATGCTGGTCTTAAACTCCTACCTTCAAGCGATCTTCCTGCCTCAGCCTCCCAGAGTGCTAGGACATAGTAGGGCTTCTTGATAGTTCTGTGACCATCAGTAAGCTGTCTGACCTTTGAGTCTTCATATATAAAATGGTGGCTGGAACCTACATGTAGTCGCAACTATTCAGGATGCTCAGGTAGGAGGATCGCTTGAGGCCAGGAATTTCAGGCTATCCTGAGCAGCATAGCAAGACCTTGTCTCTACAAAAAAATTAAATTGTCCAGTATGACGGCGCATGCCTATAGTCCCAGCTACTGAGGGTGCTGAGGCAGGAAGATCACTTATTAAGCCCAGGAGTTTTAGATTGCAGTGAACTATAATGACACCATCACAAAAACAAAAAAAAAAACCTTGTCTCAAACAAAAAACCCTTTTTATAGGCAACATCAGGGTTCTGTGAAGTAACTAAAAGTGTTTGCAAGCACCAGAGCACTCCATAAATTAGAATTAATAATATGCTCAAAACCCTCTTTTATAGTTTATACTGTTTTATTTAAATGCAAAGTGTGCCACAATGATTGCTCCCAGGCTATTAGGAACCCCAAGGTACCTTCTTGGGTCAAATATAGAAGAAAAAAATACAGTAAATAGCCTAACTAACAGAATTTGGGGTCCCACCCTGAAGATGGCCCACCAAAGCAGAGTGTTGGCCAGTTGAACCTCAATTCTCTGCATGGATGCTAAGATTCAGATGTTTCTGCGGTCCTGATAGGTAGACTGGTTTTGTGTGGAGACAGGACTCAGAAGTTAAAACTAGGTAGAAATGTGCTGAGATCTTTGGGAACAATGTTAAATAATAGCCCTCTCGTCTTAGATTTCTATACCATACATAGATCCATTGGCTTGGGGAAAGCAAGGTCAGGTTAGTATTTTCATAGCTTATTTCTCAAAAGCCTTATGAATGCTGGACAGTGTTGAAGAGGACCTGTATCCAGAGCCTAGGCCTCAGTTTACCCTCCTACCACAGGAGGGTGAGCAGATGTGAAAAGCAATACCCTCCTACTTGATATGATGTATTCTTCAGCCATTCAGACATTTCTTGAGCAGTAAAGGCAGAGCCAGAGGCCTTTCCTGTCAGCTCAGGCCTTAACCTAATACCTAGCATGGTGTCTTTTCTTACCCACCAACTTAAATATAGGATTGCCCTCATCTTCCAACATGAGAGCAGAGTGAGGAGACAAAGTAAGAAAATGGTTGATTGAGAGAATGTATTTTAAAAAGTTACTTAGTCGAATATTTCCCTCACTTGCCTTCTATACCTGCGGCATGTTATTAATATTTACAGTTTGATTTCTCTTCTTGTCTATCTACTTTCTTTCCTAGTAGAATGTTATTTGTAATGAAACACTTCTTATAAGCTACAAGGTTATTTTGGACTTATCGTTTTGAATTATGCCACTTTGTTCAGATCTAGTATCTTTTTATAGAATTTTCAATTTTTATTTTTCCCATTACAGGTAGAATTGGCTTTGTGGGACACAGCTGGACAGGAAGATTATGACCGCCTAAGGCCCCTCTCCTATCCAGACACTGATGTTATACTGATGTGTTTCTCCATCGACAGCCCTGATAGTTTAGGTGAGTGGCCCTGCAGTCAGATGTCTGTCATTGCCTGTGTACATGGCTGACATCTGCTGTCTTAAGGCATCTGGTTTCTGGGCATCAGGTGGCTAAAAAGCAGGCATGAGCTTCAGAGAAGGAATCATTAGTGGCCAGAGGCCTAGAGCCCTGGGACTGTAAAGCATGGTCCCTTGGTCCCCTTTCAGCCTAGGCCTGAAGCTACAGTGTTTAAAATGTATTTACCTTCTTGAGCACAATGGTACGCACCTGTAGTGCCAGCTACTTGAGAGACTAAAGCAGGAATATTACTTCAGCTCAGGAGAGCCAGTCTAGCTTGAGCAACAGAACAAGCCTTCATCTCTAAAAAATTAATCTTTTAAAAAAATGTGTATCTACCTTGTAAAGTAGGTGCATTCCAAATACTAAGCCATCTCTTGGACTAAGATTTGGGGGAAACTTTTTTTGGTTGCCCACATCTTTTATCAGTACTTTATATTTAGCCTGCTGCCTCCCAACATCTGGACTGGTAATTTGCTGTTTCCTAATAGTGTTTTTAAAGCCCTATCTTAGGCCCTTTCTAAAGTATCTTAGCTGGCTAGGTGCAGTGGCTCATGCCTATAATCCTACCACTTGGCCGGCGGTGGCTCACGCCTGTAATCCTAAAAACTCTGGGAGACCAAGGCGGGAGGATTGCTCGAGGTCAGGAGTTCGAAACCAGCCTGAGCAAGAGCGAGACCCGTCTCTAATATATATAGAAAGAATTAGTTGGCCAACTAATATATATAGAAAAAATTAGCCAGGCATGGTGGCTACATGCTGTAGTCCCAGCTACTCGGGAGGCTGAGGCAGGAGGATTGCTTGAGCCCAGGAGATTGAGGTTGCTGTGAGCTAGGCTGACACCACGGCACTCACTCTAGCCTGGGCAACAATGCAAGACTCTGTCTCAAAAAAAAAAAAAAAATCCTACCACTTTAGGAGGCGACGGCAGAGAATCATTTGAGCCAGAGCTCAAACCATCTGAGCAACATACAATACCTTGTCTATACAAAAAAAAAATATATTAATATATATATATATAATTTAAATTGTCCAGCATGGTGGTATGAGCCTGTAGTCCTAGCTACTCAGGAGGCTGAGGAAGGAGGATCACTTAAGCCCAGGAGTTTAAGGTTGCAGTGAACTATGTTGATGCCACTGCACTCTAGCTAGGACAACAGAGTGAGACCCTATCAAAAAAATAATAATAAAGTATTTTATCTGATAAAGAGAGACTTGAACCTGAGCATTTCACTAACTAGCCCAGGTAGCCTCATACTTTAGAAGCCACTGAATAATGCTGACTTCTCACTGTACAAAACAAGGTCTGAAACAGAACTTTCTTCAGTTTGTGCTAAAGATATGTCTCACTTGGTGCTGCAGCACTTTCTGTCATGACAGGTTACCAGTTGGGCCAAGGATGTTGTCATCATTCACAACCTTTAAGGGCCTGCTGGTGGCCTGGGCTTATGCATGGTATTTAGAATTAAGAATGACTGTGTTGGCCGGGCGTGGTGGCTCACGCCTATAATCCTAGCTTTCTGGGAGGCCGAGGTGGGTGGATTGCTCGAGGTCGGGAGTTCGAAACCAGCCTGAGCAAGAGCGAGACCCCGTCTCTACTATAAATAGAAAGAACTAATTGGCCACCTAAATATATAGATAAAAATTAGCCGGGCATGGTGGCTCATGCTGTAGTCCCAGCTACTTGGAGGCTGAGACAGAAGGATCGCTTGAGCCCAGGAGTTTGAGGTTGCTGTGAGCTAGGCTGACGCCATGGCACTCACTCTAGCCTAGGCAACAAAGCGAGATTCTGCCTCAAAAAAAAAAAAAAATGACTGTGTTATAGTTATGGTTGTCCTCACCTTAATGACGATACTGGGTTGCTCTAAAACATTGAGCCACTTGTACAAAGTCTTGCAGCCCAAGGAGCCAAGCGGAGATTCAGCCCCTCTGTACAGTGTGCCAAAGGATTGAGATGGAACAGGTATTCCCTTGCCATTGGTTCACTTTGGTCGTTTTCAGCAGTTATGATTTAATTTTGGTTTTCAAACTAATCTGGCTTCCTTTTGGGGGCTGCTGGAAGGCCCTATAGGCTGGGGCAGAGCTTTAGGCCACAGAGAAAATGGAGCAAATGACTCAAGTGGACACTCTGCCTTCAGACACACATATGAATAACTTCACCTAAATCTCATGGGAATGAGGAGGGCTATGTACCCTGTGCCCCCATCATCCAGGAATAAAAATACCTTCAGAGCAAAAGATTTTTCTTTTTCAGTCTTAACTTTTTTATTTTAAGAACCTATCTCCCTGATCTTGAAGGAGGTGCTTGGCTTTTGACCTGTGCCTATTTACTAGCTGGACTGGTTTCTTCCTGGCCCCTACCCCAGAGAGCAGGCTCTGGGGAAGAGCTTAAAAGTAGAAAGTGAATAGGCTGGCCTCTGGTGGTAGCTCAAGCCTGTAATCCTAGCACTCTAGGAGGCCGAGGCGGGCAAATTGCTCAAGGTCAGGAGTTCGAAACCAGCCTGAGCAAGAGGGACCCCGTCTCTCCTAAAAATAGAAAGAAATTATGGCTGGGCACGGTGGCTCATGCCTGTAATCCTAGCACTCTGGGAGGCCAAGGCCGGCGGATTGCTTGAGGTCAGGAGTTCGAAACCAGCCTGAGCAAGAGCAAGACCCCGTCTCTACTATAAATAGAAAGAAATTAATTGGCCAACTAAGATATGTATAGAAAAAATTAGCTGGACAACAGGCCTGTGCCTGTTGTCCCAGCTACTCGGGAGGCTGAGGCAGGAGGATCGCTAAAGCCGAGGAGTTTGAGGTTCCTATGAGCTAGGCATGACGCCACGGCACTGTAGCCTGGCAACAGAGTGAGACTCTTGTCTGAAAAAATATATATATATATGCATAAATGAATGAGAGTGGCTATGTTCCAGTAAAACTTGACTTATAAAAATAGACTCCAGGCAAGATTTTATTTGCTAACCCCTGATCTAGATAAGGATTCCTTTTCTCTAACTTTGTAGAATTCCTAAAGTCTCCCCCAAATTCTTACTGTAAATCCACATAAAGTGATGTGCCCTGATGTAATCAGATCACCTTGGAGGTGGGAGGGATTATAGAAGCCTATGTCACTGAATTAAAAAGTAAAAAATTGGCCAGGCGTGGTGGCCCCATGCCTGTAAACCTAGCACCTCTGGGAGGCCGAGGCAGGAGGATTATTCAGGGTCAGGAGTTCAAGACCGGTCTGCACAAGAGCAAGACCCTGTCTCTGCAAAAAATAAAATTAGCTGGGCTTGGTGGCATGCACCGGTAGTCCCGGCTACTTGGGAGGCTGAGGTAAGAGGATATTTTCAGCCCAGGAGCTATGATGCCACTGCACCTTAGCCCGGGCAACAGAGCAAGGCTCTGTCTCTAAAAAATAAAGGTAAAAAATTAAACTCGAAAGTTACTCATAGAAAGTAAAGATAAGAGATAAGACAGAGAGAGGTAATTCGTTCTAATTCTACATGCCCCAAATTCCAGGGGTGGAGTGGAAATAACAGTAAATCCAATGTACTTTTTTTTTTTGAGACAGAGTCTCACTCTGTTGCCCGGGCTAGAGTGCTGTGGTATCAGCCACTAAAACAAAAAAAAAAAAAAAACAAAAAAAAAACCCCGCCTAGATCACAGCAACCTCAAACCTCCTGCTACAAGTGACCCTCCTGCCC